ACCCCCTTCAGCTTTGTTTCACTTAAAGCCAGGACATCCAGTTTCTTCTCATTCATAACATCCACAATCATCTCTTTCTTATCATTTGCACAATTATTATTATTATTATTATTATTATTATTATTATTACGTATTATTATATTTTTATAGGTACCACCTCTAAAACTTTACTGGGGACCCTCATCCTCAGAGAAGACTTGTTGAAAAATGTATACTGTCTTTCAACACACCGGCCATATCCCACCGAGGCGGGGTAGTCCAAAAGGAAACACAAAAGCTTCTCCTTTTACATTTAGTAATATATACAAGAGAAAGGGTTACTAGCCCCTTGCTCCTGGCATTTTAGTCGCCTCTTACAACACGCATGGCTTATGGAGGAAGAATTCTGTTCCACTTCCCCATGGAGGTAAGAGGAAATAAACAAGGACAAGAACTAGAAAGAAAACCCAGAGGGGTGTGTATGTTCATGCTTGTACATGTATGTGTAGTGTGACAAGTGTAAGTAGAAGTAGCAAGACGTACCTGAAACCTTGCATGTTTGAGATAGAAAATTGGACACCAGCAATCCTACCATCATGTAAAACAATTACAGGCTTTCGTTTTACACTCGCTTGGCAGGACGGTAGTACCTCTCTGGGCGGTTGCTGTCTACCAACCTACTACCTACATGTATACTATATATACACCTACCATCCAACTTATGACTGAGTTCGGTTCCGAGAAACCGGTCGTAAGTCGAAATGGACGCAAGTCAAACTTTACTACTGAATATCAACATAACATTTTTGTAATGACTTTATTTTATTGTTTTATTTTGGTATTTCATGTTTTACTTTACTTTTTATACTGTTAGTACTGTATTTTATACTGTAAGGTTTAGGATAAACACTGTGTACAACACACACTTGTTTATTTCCCAGAAATTTGGCATAAAAAACACGGTTGTAAGTCGAGCAGGTCGTAAGTCGGATGGTAGGTGTATATATATCTTCTTTCTTTCAACACACCGGCCGTATCCCACCGAGGCGGGGTAGCCCAAAAGGAAAAACGAAAATTTCTCCTTTTACATTTAGTAATACATACAGGAGAAGGGGTTACTAGCCCCTTGCTCCTGGCATTTTAGTCGCCTCTTACAACACGCATGGCTTTCGGAGGAAGAATTCTGTTCCACTTCCCCATGGAGGTTAGAGGAAATAAACAAGGACAAGAACTAGAAAGAAAACCCAGAGGGGTGTGTATATACAGTGGACCCCCGGCATTCGATGGCATCGGTATATGTTAAATCTGGTATTCGATACATTTTAATGAAAAAAATTTTTCCTCGCCACTCATTAAAAAACCCGCCACACGCGATTTGTCCGGGATGCGTCCACGTGAGTGCCAGTGTTTACAAGCCAGCCAGTGTACTCGCATCTAAGCATACATTCGGTACATTCCATATTATCACAGTGTTTTTGGTGCTTGTTTCTGCAAAATAAGTCACCATGGGCCCCAAGAAAGCTTCTAGTGCCAACCCTGTGGTAAAAAGGGTGAAAATTAGTATGGAAATTAAGAAAGATTTTGAAGGGTTTGGGGCTAACCCTGAGAAGCCTATGCCAGTTGTGGAATCCATTGTGCCTACTTCAAAAATTAAGGAAATGTGTGCAAAGTGGGTTGAACTGCAAACGTTTATGGATGAAAATCACCCTAACACAGCTATTACAAGCCGTGCTGGTGACTATTACAATGACAGTGTTTGGCCCATTTCAGACAAATCTTAAAGGAACGGGAGGTACAGACCTCTATGGACAGATTTGTTGTGCAACAGAGGTCCAGTGACTCTCAAGCTGGTCCTTGTGGCATTAATTAAAAGAAGGGAAGTAACCCCGGAAAAGGACTTGCTACCTCAAGTCCTAATGGAAGGGAATACCCCTTCTAAACATTAACAACTTCGACACTCTCCCCTCCTCCCATCCCATCAATCATCACCAGATCTTCATTAAAGGTAAGTGTCATGTATTCTCTTGTTAGTAGAGTACTACTAACTGTGCATGTCTTCTTCAGTTTGTGTGCATTAAACTTAATATTTCATGTGGTAAAACTCTTTTTCTCATAGTACTTTTCGGTGTCTTGCACAGATTAATTTGATTTCCATTATTTCTTATGGGGAAAATTAATTCGCCTTCCGATAATTTTGGCATACGATGAGCTCTCAAGAACGGATTAATATCGTATACCGGGGTTCCACTGTATATGCTTGTACATGTATGTGTAGTGTGACCTAAGTGTGAGTAGAAGTAGCAAGACATACCTGAAATCTTGTATGTTTGAGACAGAAAAAAGACACCAGCAATCCTACCATCATGTAAAACTATTACAGGTTTCCGTTTTACACTCGCTTGGCAGGACGATAGTACCTCCCTGGGTGGTTGCAGTCTACCAACCTACTACCTTTAATATATATATACTGTATCTTTCTTTCAACACAACGGCCGTATCCCACCGAGGAGGGGTGGCCCAAAAGGAAAAACGAAAGTTTCTCCTTTTACATTTAGTAATAGTGTATGTATACAGGAGAAGAGGTTACTAGCCCCTTGCTCCCGGCATTTTAGTCGCCTCTTACAACACGCATGGCTTACGGAGGAAGAATTCTGTTCCACTTCCCCATGGAGATAAGAGGAAATAAACGAGAATAAGAACTAGAAAGAAAATAGAAGAAAACCCAGAGGGGTGCGTATATATATCTGCTTGTACATATATGTGTAGTGTGACCTAAGTGTAAGTAGAAGTAGCAAGACATACCTGAAATCTTGCATGTTCATGAGACAGAAAAAAAGGACACAAGCAATCATACCATCGTGTAAAACAATTACAGGCTTTCGTTTTACACTCACTTGGCAGGACGGTAGTACCTCCCTGGGCGGTTGCTGTCTACCAACCTACTACTTATATAGAGTGGAACCTCAAAAATCGAACGTATCACATATCGAACGTTTCGAAAATAGGACCATTTTTTCGGACAAACTGTGTCCCTATTATCGAATGCGCCCCTATTTTCGGACCGCTGGGTACGGGACCTGTCTGCCGCCCGCTCTGTCCGCGTCCCCGTGCAGGCGCCGTGAGCAGTCTTTGTTTATGCTTGAGTGAACACTAACTTCTCTCATTCACGCATTTTACGATTATTTCGTGGTGTTTAGTGCTTGTGGGACTGTGAAATAAGCTGCCATGGGCCCAAAGAAACTTGCTAGTGGTACCCCTGTGGTAAAGAAAGTGAGAAACACCATAGATGTGAAGAAGGAAATAATACAGAAGTATGAGAGTGGTGTGAGACTTGTTGGGCTTGCCAGGATGTATGGGAAAAACAAGTCGACCATCGGTTCTATCCTGTCAAAGAAAGAACAAATCAAGGAAGCTGATGTTGCGAAAGGTGTTAATGTTGGGAGTGGATGAGGTGCCTTCTTCAAAGATTAAGGAGATTTGTGCCAAGTGGAATGATGTCCAAATGTTTGTGCAGAAGTACCACCCTGAGCAAGGTGAAACGAGCCATCTTTGCAACAAGTTCAGTGACAGAACCATGTCCCATTTTAGGGAAATGTTAGAGGCGCCAGAAACGGAGGACTGTGGACAGTTATTTTGTGAGACAGGGGTCCAGTGACTCTCAAGCTGGTCCTAGTGGCATTAAAAGACAGAGAAGGGAAGTAACCCCAGAGAGGGCTTTACCTGAAGTCCTCATGGAGGGGGATTCTCCTTCCAAACACTAACCCCAACTCTCTCTCTCTCTCTCTCTCTCTCTCTCTCTCTCTCTCTCTCTCTCTCTCTCCCTATCTTCCAGATGCCATCACCAATCTTCAATAAAGGTAAGTAAAAATGTTATTTTATATGTACATATTACTATACATAATTAAAAAATATAGTATTTGTTGTATGTAAAACTGTAATTAATCTCTATAAAATGTATTTTCCGTGTGAATATTTTTGGGTTTCTGGAACGGATTAATTGTATTTCCATTATTTCTTATGGGAAATATTGCTTCGAATTTCAGACTTTTCGAATCTAGAACTAGCTCCTGGAACGGATTAAGTTCGATTTTTGAGGTTCCACTGTACTCTGTGTGTACTCACCTATTTGTGGTTGCAGGTGTGTATGTGTGTGTGTGTGTGCGCGCAATTTTTTTAACAAGTCGGCCGTCTCCCACCGAGGCAGGGTGACCCAAAAAGAAAGAAAATCCCCAAAAAGAAAATACTTTCATCATCATTCAATACATTCACCTCACTCACACATAATCACTGTTTTTGCAGAGGCACCCATATACAGCAGTTTAGAAGCATATATAAAGATATATAACATATCCCTCCAAACTGCCAATATCCCAAATCCCTCCTTTAAAGTGCAGGCATTGTACTTCCCATTTCCAGTACTCAAGTCCGGCTATATAAAAATAACTGGTTTTCCTAAATCTCTTCATTAAATATTACCCTGATTGCACTCCTCCAGCTCGTCAGGTCCCGAAAACCATTCGTCTCCATTCACTCCTATCTAACACGCTCACGCACACTTGCTGGAAGTCCAAGCCCCTTGCCCACAAAACCTCCTTTACCCCCTCCCTCCAACCTTTTCAAGGACGACCCCTACATGCCGACCATCTCCCACTGAAGCAGAGTGACCCAAAAAAAGAAACACTTTCACCATCATTCACACGTAAGCACTGTCTTTGCAGAGGTGCTTAGACATGAGAGTTTAGATGTTATTCCAAATAGCCAATATCCTAAACCCCTCTTTTGAAGTGCAGGCATTGCACTTCCCACCTCCAGGACCCAAGTCTGGCTAACTGGAAAGAAATTTTTATATACTGTATTGGTTTTAATTTGGTAATTCACATGTATTACGACTGTTGAGCTAGGAGCATGATGTGACTGATAGTATCAGGTTACAGAATGATAATTGTTTAGCTCATACCTCATCACATCATCTTAGGAAAGTTAAATTTCTAATCAATATTGTACATTTGTTTTGTTGTCAGACCAAACCCTGTGCCAATCTTCTGCTGTTCAACTGGGTCACAAAAGCCTCTGACGAGTGATATGCTAGCAGTACACTTGCAGAGGTCGGTGCGCTCCTTTCCCTTCAATTCGCCATTGTGGTATCCTGATGGTTCACCAAAGACTACCAAGTTGATGCATCAGATCCATGTGTATCTAGTGAACATTATCCCAGCACACATTGCTGACACCATACTGAAGATTCTGGGCAAAAAGCCAATGTAAGTAAATACACTAGTTTAAATATTTGTTCATGCTGTACAATATATTTATATCCTTCTGTTACTTAAAGGCTTGCTACAAACTGAATTACAGAAAAATAAAATTACTCACTGTATCGTCACTTCAGCAGGGATACCCTTGATCTTGCTCAAGGAGTTGTGGTCCAAGGAATTTGAGCAACATTTCCTTGAATCAAACCTGATTACTTCCCATTACCAGGCACTGTATGACCTGTACAGTTTTAGCACTTCCCTATGATTATAATCACCATAACATGAAGATAATAGAGACGAATTGTGCAGATAGTGTTGGATCTAACCCTATTGAAGCTGCAGGGTGAACATAGTTATACGTACTCAGCATTTTGGAGGCCCTCTACTTTAAACTCTGGCTGCATCCTAATTATATTGTTGCAGATTAAATTGCACTGTAATCCTACTCTGCCATGTGTGGGAATCTGGGTGAAGGATAAGCAGGTAACATAGCCAGAATTTGGCAATCAGTAACAGATCTACAGTATTCAGAGTGAGGGTGTCCTGACTAGCCAGGCACCAGGCACATACCTAAACTGTTCGACAATATGTAGAAATAGAGGACTTGATTTGAATTGATGAGTAATAAAAGCTTTTTTTTTTTTTTCCTCAGAAGGGTGGTTAGTTGATTGAATATCAGACTTTTAAGAAATACTGTTAGGTGAAGAGCACAGTTGCTTTACTAGATGGTTGTGCATTTCAGGTAACAAACTCCCAGTAGGTGGCATTATTTATTTGTGGGAAGTTGGAAGCTCCTGAAACTTTTTTTTTTTTTAAACCTTACCTTTAAGCAAATGTAGTTTATGATTAACTGATTCAGTGTAAAACAACTAATCAAATTTTTATTAAAGTATTTGCTGAATGCATGGTATTTATTTTAAAGTAATACATGTTGATTCATTTTCTTAGATTTTCTCCATATATTTTATTAAAATTTGTTAATTATTGTTCATTAACCCTTTCGGGGTTTCGGCCGTACTAGTACGGCTTACGCACCAGGGTTTTTGACGTACTAGTACACATAAATTCTAGCGCCCTCAAATCTAGCAAGAGAAAGCTGGTAAGCCTACATATGAAAGAATGGGTCTATGTGGTTAGTGTACGCAGTATAAAAAAAAATCCTGCAGCACACAGTGCGTAATGAGAAAAAAAACTTTGACTTTGTTTTTGGTTTAAAACAGCGACTTTGCACTGTATTTTTGTATGGTATTTATTGTTGTATTCTAGTTTTCCTGGTCTCATTGTATAGAATGGAAGACATATTACAGAAATTGAGATGATTTTGACTGGTTTTACAATGAAAAGTACCTTGAAATTGAGCTCAAAGTAGCAGAAATGTTCGATTTTTACTAAAGTTCAAAAGTAAACAAATCATGCTAAGCGTCCAGTACACATTAACTGGTGAGTCTAATATTCTTTCACAAGTGTGCCGATATTATTTATACCATTTCTACACTAATGCAGTAGTCTGCATAACAGTAAATCTTATTATTTTTGTGAGAATAAAAAATCAAAGTGGAAAGCAAAAAGAAATGCAAGAGGGGCCTGGGGACGTGACTAATGAACAGAGGAAATGTTATTTTAGTGCCAGGAATGTCTTTCTTGTTTATTCTGGACCCTATTTGAAAATTGGCATCTTTTGAAATTTGTGTGAAATTGACAAAATTGCTAAATTCTGACCACCTTATCAGTAAATGGGTGGTTTCTTGTACTCATTCGATAGAAAAAAAACGGAGTTCTAGCGAAATAGTTATGATTTTTGTCGACTAGCACACTGGAATTGGCCGAAAATAGGGCTCAAAGTGGGCAAAATCGCCGATGCGTAAACATCGTCGAGACCTCTAATTTTGTGAGAGCATAATTCCGTAAATTTTCCATCAAATTTCATACTTTTGGTGTCATTATGATCAGGAAAAGATTCTCCATCTTATAAGTTTTTTTTTTTTTTTTTTTTTTTTTTTTTTTTTTTTTTGTGGCCTGGTGGTTAACGCTCTCACTTCACACGGTGAGGGCCTGGGTTCGATTCCCAGCCAGAGTAGAAACATTGGACGTGTTTCTTTCCACCTGTTGTCTATGTTCCCCATCAGTAAAATGGGTACCTGGGTGTTAGTCGACTGGTGTGGGTTGCATCCTGGGACACTGACCTAAGGAGGCCTGGTCACAGACCGGGCCGCGGGGGCGTTGACCCCCGGAACTCTCTCCAGATAAACTCCAGATAAACCCTGAGAACAAGTTTCCGAGAGGGCCTGGCGACCCCCAAAGGGTTAAGCAATAATTAAAAGTAAAATGTACATTCTTTTCTTTTCTTTTTTCTGAAAACTAACTTGCAGGAGAGTAATAGTGTACACTAATAATGGTAGAATATGAGAGACAAGGCAATTATTCTCTGAATGAACTGTTCAATATATATTGAGCTACAGTATTAAATTTTGTGTTTGTGCTGTAATAACTAGTTTTTTTTTTACCAAATGGTTACTCAAGTTGAGGATGAATGTGCTTAACAGTATCACTTTATTGTGTTTTGCTGTTTTCTTACCAGTTATTTTTCATTTGCAATATTTTTTTTTTTTTTAACACTGCCATTTCCCACCAAGGCAGGGTGACCCAAAAAGAAAGAAAAAAAAAATTTCATCATTCAACACTTTCACTATCACTCGTACATAATTACTGTCTTTGCAGAGGCACTCAGATACGACAGCTTAGACGTCCCTCCAAATTGCCAATATCCCAAACCCCTCCTTTAAAGAGCAGGCATTATACTTCTCATTTCCAGGACTCAAGTCTGGCTAACCGGTTTCCCTGAATCCCTTCACAAAATATTACCTTGCATTATATATATAATTTTTAAAATGTAACATTTTGTTAATTTGATCTTTCAGTGCATTGAAGCTGTGTAACAAGATGGTAAAGGCAGTGAATGCTCTGGAGTACTTCATGCTTCGAGACTGGATCTTCCATAACACTCACACACAGTGCCTGTGGGACACTCTCTCACCTACTGACAAAGAAATTTACCATTTTGATATTGATGAACTTGATTGGGATGAATATATAGAGACCTATCAAAAAGGCTGCAAGCAGTATATTATGAAGGAGAATCTTAAAGATATACCACAGGCCAGAAAAACTTTGCATATCTTGCACATCTTCCACCGCCTAGTACAGTTAGCGATGATGTATGGTGTGTGGTGCATGCTATCTTCTGACTCTGCCACCAGCTGTTACACACACTTTTTCAATGGGGCTTCAAAGCTACTTTCGCTCTCGCCAATGTTGGCAGCAGCGACAGAAGATGTTGATATTTCATAGATTCTAATGTAAGCCACAACCAGTTAGTCGGTTATCTAGGACACATCCATAGATCTGGCCAGTGAGTGAAGTAGTTACATCTGTTTCCTAGGTTTGCAATTTAGACTGGCCATAGTAATGAGAGGTGTGTAGAGTGATTAAAGGTGTGTTCCTGCAAGTAAGCTTCAGCGGATAACTTGTACAGCTACTCTTGTACTTAAGGAATACTCCCTAAAGGTTTGCTTAACGAACAAGATAGTTACACCAAATTCCTAGGAATGGAGTTGTGGCCGAGGTGACGTCGTCCAAGCGGTAGCTCGCTCAGACACCACACTGACATATGCATCTACCTCGTGAGCTCTGATCGAGGCACTGAGGAAGGCCTCGCCTTTGTGCCCCAACTAACTGGGCATTTTGCTTGCTAGTGGGTTCTCCTTAGCAACTGAATAGATTGTACCTTATGCTTGTCCTGTAGAATACAGCTATTCAGGGAAAGTACTTCTACACATAGAAGACTGTTCTGTCCATTTTATCAATGCTGCACTATATTAACAAGCATTTGGAAAATTGTTGCTAATATGTAAGGCAGGTCTTTCATTAAAGTAACCCATGTAGAGTGGCTACTTGGAGGCCACACTTATGCAACATCTTGTAAACAAATGCTCAAATTACCAGTTCTGGTATGTTAGGTATTAGTGATACAAGTAATACCTCGTTTTGTATATAATTTATGTACGTAATAGTGTATTTTGACCCCAAAAATGGAAATCATATCAGTATTTTATAATATTATACTGTGGATGTTTTTAATTACAGCATTAAGTTCAGCCATGTTACATGTCAGTAATAATAACAATAATTAATAATAATAATATAGAAAGAACTAACAATAATAATGAACATAATATGGCAGTAACTGTTTGACTGTAAGATAAATGTTTCTGTATAATGTTAGCTTAAGACACTTTTACTCTTCATGACAATTTTTTTTTTTGTTTTTTGTTATCTCCGACTTGGCTCGTTAACAAGACAAATCAATAAACCTAATGTATATAGCAGTTATGTGCAGTGTACCAAATTTGTATAAAGTACCTGTACTTAGGTTGTTTATCTGATTGGATTTGGTAATGGGCTGAGCCATTTATGTGTAGGAGTAGTTGATAGTTCTTGACTGTCATGAACCTCACACTGTATGGTAATGAAATTTGAATAAATCTGAATCTTATGCCTACCATTTTTTTGTCTAGTATTTGTTACATTTCTGATATTTAAGTTTATGCTTTGCATTAAAATGAGCAGTAATTCTATAATTCTATTTGACACCCTCTGCCAGATAACCAAATCTAGACAAAGATGCATTCAAACATAAATAGGAAGAGCTAATTTGTGATAGTTGAAAGTTGCTAGGCAGGCTCAATCACAAAAGTGCACCCTCCTCATTGCTTACTTAAATAAGTACTTTACTGTAATTATAGTACACATGTCGTCATGAAGGAAGTGTGGAAGTTATGGTTGCAGTTTTAAGTGTACTCTGAGGTATTGATGAGGAAGATAGACTAAAAGAAGTGGGACCAAGACTAGAGAAAAGAGGAAGGCTTAGAAAGTAAATAAAAAAGAAAGCTTTTCAGTGTGAGGACTTTAGGCTAGTGGACTACACAAGAGAAAGAGGTAGTACATACTAGGATTTTATTTTTTTGTGAAATATAGAAGGATAAATTTCAAAGTGATGAGAAATGCTGCAGTCATCACAGTTAAAATTTGTATAGTGTATTTTAAAAGAAAATAGAATGAAAGAATTATTGTCTCAATGCAAAGCAAAACATCTACTCCAGATGTTTTTCTTCAAATGCTTATCACAGGAGAGAACCCAAAATATATGGAGCTACAGTATTCATTTTTCAAATAAATCATTAGTTAATTTTTACACTTGAGATTTAAATGCAAAGTCTTAGGAGGGAATCTGTTGTTTTATCATAGAACATTTTCTATTTAAAAAAGTAAACTTTAATGCCATTAACCTGTTTTCACTTTACTTTTAAGCACCTAGTGTAAATAGTAATACTATAATACTGTTATACATGTACAGTATATATATAAAACAGTAAGCACAGGTGCCAACACGTGTGAAGAAATGTAGTCCTAGAATTTATTAGTGTTTGTGTATTTTGGGGAAAAGTGCTAAACCTTAGGGGCCATAGTGTCTGGAATACGAGACAATCATGTTAGATCCAGGGAAAGGGAAGACAGTTAGTCTCTTGGATGAAGGGCCCCTCGTATGCATAAAGGGATGTCCTAGAGTTACCTGACCCCTTTGCACTTCATTGTCTCCTGGCAGCTGTGCCCTTTATGGTTGTAATTTTTAGATTGATTCTGAATGAGTGCCTTATTTTATAAAAGCATGTGAAGACTGTGCAGCCTTACTAATAGCAGATTACACTTGAGGATTATTAATTTTGGACATTTAACAATACAGGGTAATCCCAGCCATGCAAGTGACTTCCATTTGGGTCCTTGGGTCATTTTCTTTAAGATTCAATCCACAACTGTCATTAGGTATCCTTGCACTGTAATATAACAGGTTTTAGATGAGTTAAAGTAACATTTTCATTCAGGAGAATTCTTTACCCACAAGAACACTTTATCAGTATGTTTTATTAGCAGTAATTTAAACTGTTTATACTCAAAGTAATAAATCTCATTTTCACTCGTCTTGAATCATGAAGAGTGATAATAAATTAAGAAATTTTTTCCCAGTGTTCAATTTTCTAAGGCTGTGCTGGTGCAGGGAAATTTCTTGTAAATTATTTTACTTCAGTAGTCTCAGTGATATTGATGGCAAGATATTAAGCACTGGTTGAGATGTACAGTAAACCTGGTCATGGAGGATACGTTTCTGAAAATTGGCAAGTTATGGAAAATAACTTTATAAAGTGAAGTTCTAGAGGAAAAAAAACTGTTCCAAATGCCTCCAAATTTGCCAGTTTGTTTTTTAGATATTCTGTTGGGTACAAAATGCAGTTTATTTTGCCTTGCATTCTAGCTGTTGCTTGTTGACATGGAAGTGTGTGCATGTGCAACAAGTCAATGTAACCATACTGGGCTGAGATGGATGCAGTTGTCAGTACAGTAGTTATGATTGTACTGGAATGCTCAAATGTACTGTAATGCATCTCTTGTCAGGTTTACCCTACAGTATCAACCTCTGACATTTTTTCACCAGGTTACAATCTGCACTTTTCATTACACAAGCTCTTATTGTTTTCTCATTGTCTAATTGTACAGATGGTGGATTTTCCCAGACCAAAAGTGTGAGCAGTTTGTATTGTATCACTTGCATCACCTCAAATTAACACTTTCTCCATACATGTTTATTCTTCTGTGGCACACCTAGCATCACAAGAATTCCTCTTGGGTACCACAATTAATATCCAAGGATTAGATGGGGTGACTAAAATATCCAAAATCTTTAATAAATATAGTGAAGGCACACAGTACTTCCTAAAGCCACTGTAGGTGACATGGGAAGTTCAACTTTGGTTAAAAACCAATAAGATTTTGTGGGTAAATTGTTTTCACTTGAGAGTACTATCAAGGATCTTTCAAGCATTATGCAATAAAGGATGCACTTTCCATTGTTTAGAGAAAATCACTATATTCCCACTTTATAAGGGTGTACTGTATTAATATCTGAAATACTAAGTTAATTTTAAATGGTTTTATTTCAGGCTCTGTATAACCCCTTTGGGTTTAGCATTTATCCATTAATATAAAATCAGTACTACAATTGGTAAGCAAGACACATAGGCAACAGTTAGGCATCTTTATTCCAAAACGTTTCACCTACACGGTAGGCTTCAGTAGAGTACAGAAAGTAGGCAGGAGCAGTAGAGATGTGAAGACAAAGTAATCAGTCCATCACCCTTGAAGACATCTTCAAGGGTGAAGGACTGATTACACTGTCTTCACATCTCTACTGCTCCTGACATCTTCAAGGTTGATGGACTGATTACATCGTCTTCACATCTCTACTGCTCCTGCCTACTTTCTGTACTCGACTGAAGAAGCCTACTGTGTGGGTGAAACATTTCGGAATAAAGATGCCTAACTGTTGCCTGTGTGTCTTTACCAACCTGTAGGTATTGTATACCATTTACTTGTTTTACTCCATTCAAAATATTTGAACATCTATTTATAAATAGTTTGTTATTTGATGTATATTGCAGTTGTCACTTTTGTAAATTCTGGTACAGTATCTGTTTTTACTTATAATAATTAAGGATGTGAATGTAGTAGTGAATACCACACATGTACAATACTTTTTCTATTTATAGTGTAATCAACGAATAAACATTACAAAAAAAGTGTGTTGTCTAATTTCAATCAGCAGTGTAGAGATAAATGTGCCAGGCTTGCTGGGCTAAAACTATTTAGTTTTATTAACACAGTGATGGAAGAAAAATCTAGGGTGTGCATAGCATCACTTTAGATGTGAAAGGGTAACACTTGATGTTACAAGTGACCATGGCTTAGCCTTGCCTCCCCTACAATACCTCTGCTTACACTTTCTTTTTTTCTTACCACTTCAAAATCTAAAACTTTTGTTAAGGTAAGAGACTAAGATCATATACTGTAATGAAACTAGTGGATAAAGATAATTTAGGATGGACAATCTAAAAGTTTCACATACACAATACTGCATTAGAAACAGTGGAGTTGTCATCTTAGTGATGCACCTTTCTAAAATACCTAAATATCAAAAAAAACACTTTACTCTTCTGTGTAAAGAATACGGCATGTGCAAACATCTTTCTTTGGTAGGTCTGTTGTGTATTTGGATAAGTCTGCCCGAAATGCCCCAGCATGATAGTGGCTTTCTTTGTACTTAGCTGCAGCCATTGGCAACAACAGTGGTCAGGCATGCACCATAACAAATTGCACTCTATTAAATCACTTTTTGGTTTGTGGCCATCTTCCTACCACTGTTGCCACACTCGGGAGACTGTGCTCTCCCAGCTCCGCATTGGCCATACTCGCCCTATCCATGGGTATCTCGTGGAACAACTCCCTATTCCTCTGTGAGGCTTGTAGATTGCCTGGTTTACCAGCAAGCTCGCAAGATTTACTTCCAATGACTGCCACCCTACCACTCTTGCCTTGCCATCCCTTCTTGCAAATGGCCCTGCCTTTGACTTAATCACTTTTTTATTTTTTGTCAGCAACTGCTTTATTGTATGAACTTTGACACAGCCCTTAGCATCCCTTCCAGCCCTTCTCTTCCCTCACCTCTGATACCCTCTCCACCTAGTTGTTTATAGCCTCAGCATTATTTATTGCCCTGCAGAGCTGTATGACCCTTGTCGGTTTAGCCGTTTCTTTGATTGTAATGATAATTTGTACTTGACTAATCAGAATTGTAAATACACATTGTGCTGATTAACCAAACGGCTCTAGTACTTTGTAAATACAGAAGCTCGATCGCAAGCACACTCGGCTCTCACACTGAGGTCCAGAAATCGAATCCCTGGTACGGCTGGAAAACATTACGAAGTGTTTCCATAGGACACTTGCTGTCCATGTTCACCTATCAGTATAAAATGGGTACCTGGGTGTTAGTCGACTGGTGTGGGTCACATCCTGGGACAAAACTGACCTAATTTGCCCGAATTGCTCAGCATAACGAGGGGCTTTCTATATAGTAGTACGTATGTCATTGATGCCAGCTAGGCCTGTATACCTTGTACTTGTAGAAATAAAGATATTATATTATAAGGGGGATGGGAGGGGATGCCTTCATGCCAGTGAAGGGCTCTTGATTCAAGGAACTGGATCTACCCTCTTATTTCCTAAGTGTTGCACGACCTCTTGACGACAATGTGCTACTCTACATGTATGCCATACATGGAGACCTATCTACACTTCATTTCTGCTGAACTGGAAGTTGATTCTGCCTTTGGAGCTGTCTCCCATTGGTGGCAACTTATTTCTTTGGTTAGTATACCTGGATAAAGATAAAATAGGAGGTTCATTGTTAGCCCCCCAACTAAATCTCTGCTGGTTATTCTTCATTTTTTAATGATTTGGTGGTTGCATTCTGCTCCACCTATGTATTTGCTACCCGAACTAGCAGTTTGTGGACTTCAGTTTGGGCAGTATTGGGTATAGTATTAGGTGGTGCTTCAATTACCAGTTTCTCCCTCCTAAAGGGAAGTGCTTTGATATCAGTGA